GCGGCAGATGGAAAAGTGAGGAAATGTTTAAAAGAGGAGATATAACCGAGAGCTGTCATACTCTCTATCACTGCTACAAAAAGAATACTGACATGTATATACAGTATGTCCTCTGTGTGTGTGTGTGTGTGTGTGTGTGTGTGTGTGTGTGTTGTTGGCAGGATTTGAGCATTTGCTTAGCATGTGTGTCAAGCTGCGCTGCAATCTGTTAGCTCTTCCTCTCATCCTTACAGAGCACACACACACACACACACACACACACACACACACACACACACACACACACACACACACACACACACACACACACACACACACACACACACACACACACACTGGTGATGGTGATGATAACTTTAACAGCACTGGTGAGTCCAGACAGTTTTACGGTGACACCCTTCTTCTACTTAATAACACAATCAAAGTTAAGTAGATTTTTCAGTCCCTTAAATAAAAGGCGTTAAGTTGACAGGTCAGTGTGTCTTACAGGGACAAAAAAAGCCTTGTTTTATTGATTGTCTCCCCCCTTCTCCCTCGCTACAACAAGACAGACATTCAGTAACTATCGGACTCATTCATAAGAGAGTTCATAAACACGAGCGTCTCAGTGACAGCGAGAGTCAGCTGAGAGTGACATCACCGTTAAAAAACAACAATACGCTCATATGTTAGTCTTTAGTTCGACTTAAATCATCATCTTAACCCACATGTTTCAAACTCAAGGCCCGGGGGCCAAATCAGGCCCTTGGTGGATTTAATTTCGGCCCGCAGGATAATTTCTAATTCCTATTAGATCTGGCCCGCTGGTATATTGCACGCACACCTTCACTCCATCCTGAGGGTCTCCTCAGCTCAGAGCCTGAGCCCAAACATTGATGACCTTGCACCCAAGATGAGATGCCAAGTATCTGAGCGAGCATCACAGAGCAGCACACTGAGTTTAATGGATGTTTCCTTCTGCACTTTCTCTCTCACGACAACAGGGCATGTTTGGTTTCTCTTTGAGGGAAATAGTTTTGTTGAAGCTGTTGTTGGCCTGTGGGAAAATGTAATCATAAGAAATGACTCTGGAAAAGCTGCAGATAGAGCCATAAGAAATGAATGAACTGATTATTTAATGTTTAATGTTGTTTTTATAGGCAATCATTTAAGCTTTGTTAGTTCCAGGTTTAATATGTGCAATAAGTTCATTTCAATAAGTTTTGCAATAACCATTGAACCAGTCCGGCCCTCAACTAGTACCTATTTTTTTAATTTTGGCCCACTGTGTATTTGAGTTTGACACCCGTGAGATAGAGTATACAGACACTTAAGGTAATCATTTTATTGTGATTATTTGCTTCACAAAATATGACATAAATAAGTGCACTTCATGTAAGATGCCCTCTAGCTTGTGTGCCTGAAATAATCAAAATAATCAAAAACATCAAGAGTTTTAGGAGACATATTGGATAGCAATAATACTTCTCATATAATACATCAAGAATATCTATTCTAAATGAATGTTAGTAGTACTGTAGGTAAGTACACATCAAATAAATGTAAATGGTAATCAAAAATTTCTGTGCTTCATAATGGGAATTTCCTTTCTGCATCTGCAGCGAGGACAAACAAGAAATCATTCTCACAAATGCCCCGTAACATTTTCCGTATGTTTAGTATCTTGTAATGCGCTTTAATTGATGTTTTGGTGTTTCTCCTCCCCAGGCATTGAGATGGAGATTGTGAACAGCTGTGAGAAGATCAACGGAGGCTGCTCTCATCACTGCGAACACACCACCAACGGACCGCTGTGTTCCTGTAACCACGGCTACCAGCTGGCCCTGGACAGGAAGACCTGTGTGGGTAAGTTCACTAGCAAGGACCACACCACAACAATATGTCTGTTTAAGAATGAATGACAGGTGGTATCTGAGAGGGAAATGGGAAGAGGTGAAGAAGGATGAGGGATGTCGTCTTTTAGGCTGGTCTGGAGAAAAAACTGAAGTCCAGGGAGACTTGTTTGGGGGGTGTGGTCCATCTCAGTCGTGTTTCAGTGTAGGAAGGAAGGGATGAAGGGATCTAGGGATGATGTGAAGGAGGGATAAATGGGAAAAGGGTACCAGGGTGGAGGGAGGAATGAAGGGAAGTATGGAGGAAGTGATGAAGGGATGTAAGGAGGGAGGAATGAAGGGAAGTATGGAGGAAGTGATGAAGGGATGTAAGGAGGGAGGAATGAAGGGAAGTATGGAGGAAGTGATGAAGGGAAATAGGGAGGCACGAGAGGATGAAGAGATGTAGGGATGAATGGAGGTAGGGGGGGATTAACGGGTGAGGGGGATGTAGATATGTGTGTACAAAGGAAGTAGGAAGGGAAATGAATGACTCTATGAAGTCAACTAGTTTCTTCATTTGCTTTCTGTGATTTACATCCACTTTGTGACTCTCTGTTTGTCTTCCCGACCATCTGTTGAAACTGTCCCGCTGCGCGCTTCCCTCAGACAGTGACGAGTGTCTCAGTGGGGGGGCCTGCTGCCGTCACTTCTGCAGAAACTACCCGGGCGGCTACGAGTGCAGCTGCAGAGCCGGCCACAGACTCAACCCAGACGGCTGCGGCTGCGATGGTACGAATCATGATTGAGTGTTTTGTTGTTGTTGTTGTTGTGGACAGGACATAAATTACACTAACTGATTTCTCAGAAATGCCACTTTTCTAGGCCATTTCAGAGCGGGAAACAGAATACTCTGCTCACTAACGACCACACTCTGTACAATCTAGAGCAGGGGTGTCAAACTCAAATACACAGTGGGCCAACATTAAAAAATGGGTACTAGTGGAGGGCCGGACTGGTTCAATGTTTATTGCAGAACTTATTGCACATATTAAACCTGGAACTAACAAAGCTTAAATTATTGCCTATAAAAACAACATTAAACATTAAATAATCAGTTGCATTCATTTCTTATGGCTCTATCTGCAGCTTTTCCGGAGTCATTTCTTATGATTACATTTTCCCACAGGCCAACAACAGCTTCAACAAAACTATTTCCCTCAAAGAACAAACCAAACATGCCCTGTTGTCGTGAGAGAGAAAGTGAAGAAGGAAACATCCACGTAAACTCAGTGTGCTGCTCTGTGATGCTAGTTCAGATACTTGGCATCTCATCTTGGGTGCAAGGTCATCAATGTTTGGGCTCAGGCTCTGAGCTGAGGAGACCCTCAGGGTGGAGTGAAGGTGTGCGTGCAATATACCGGCGGGCCAGATCTAATAGGAATTCAAAGTTATCCTGCGGGCCGCAATTAAATCCACCAAGGGCCTGATTTGGCCCCCGGGCCTTGAGTTTGACACATGTGATCTAGAGGAACTGCTAGATTGGTAGAAGAAGTTAAAAGAAATGAGGCAAAAGTAAAATAATCAAAGTTGTGCGTCATCAATATAAACCTGTTGTTCAACCACCAACCAATGACAAAGGCTTTTTCGATTATTATCCTTTACCACATATCCTATGTGTTGTCTGCAGTGCTAGCAGCTTCAATACAGTAAGCAGTAGCTTGCTGGTAATTCATGTTTTGTGTATATTGATGAATGTAGTCGAATCACGTATTGCCATTTTACTTGCCACTACAGAAATGACAAACTTTTTTGGACCATTTTTTAAAATTTGTATTGTAATATAATTTGCCAATGCTTTTCTACTGTAATCGAACCACCTTTGACAATGTGCTTTCTCAATTTTCTAATGGGCTATTTAACATGTATGCTCTCTGAACAAGTAGGCACTGAATCACGTTACTGGCATGTGACTGTCTAGCATTGTATTTTCTATCACATGCATTCACAATCCAAATCATTTTTAGCAGTTTTAAATACCTTTGTTAACCAACCTATATGTGTCCCTAGCTTTGCTGCCCTTCACATTCTTCCAGTGTGAAGTAGTCGTGTAAAGTACCTTCCCTAAAGCTGCTTGTTTGTATATTTTTCTGTCAGACGTTGACGAGTGCCTGGCAGAGACTTCGGGCTGTGAACACGACTGTGTCAACACCCTGGGAACTTACGAGTGTTTTTGTGAGCTGGGTTTCCGCTTGGATCAGGACCAACACTCCTGCATTTGTGAGTGACAATTTGATTTGCTTTTCTTGGAACGGTCTGTTATTTATGGACGTGTTAAGCCTATAAGTGTTTTAGCCATTCAAAAAAATGGTTTAACTGTATTTTTTTTCTTCTGTAGCTCTGTATGGGGAAATGGAAGATGAAGAGGCTGAGGAGGAAGACGAGGATGAACAGCTGGAGGTCCATAGATTACCAGACCTGCTGTTTCGCAAGGTTCCTCAGCTCCTGCAGTACACAGCGGCCTTACACTCCCGTTATGTTAGTGATGAAGATGATAGGGATGGTGGTGACAGGGAAGTAGAGATCCAGAGGGGGCGCCGAGGAGAGCTCAGACTGTCCAGCAGCATAGGTACAGTAAAATAAATCGTATTCCCGGTGAGAACATGATGTTATTGTTTCATGAAGTCTTCAGGGCCAGGAAGTCATGAAAGCAGAAACCTTTTTCTCAGGGGAGCGTTTCTGTTTCAGTGTGTCTGGATGGCTCGTTCGGGGATGACTGCAGTGTGAGCTGTGAGGACTGTGATCACGGAGTGTGCAGTGAGAACAGAGACCGGTGTGAGTGTGAAGCCGGATGGACAGGGATCATCTGTAACAAGAGTGAGTACAGCCATCAGACGATCACAGTTACATCTGTTTGTTGTGCGTAATGTATTTTCTTTGTAACACATTTCCCCCCCGCAGTCTGGCAGTGGGCTATATGCAACCTTGCCTTCTCCAGTTTTCTCAAAATGCTGAAAGTATGCACAAACATTAAAATCCATGATGCCCTAGGACTATTCAAAGGAATATTTTTGACATTTCGGGGACAACACTTATTCCTTCCCATGCCAAGAGATGTGATTTTAAGGCTCAGCACTCTCTCCCTCTGAAGCTGCATGTTACCACCTGTCTTTTCTCAAAAAAAGCCCAATCTGCTCTCGTTGGCTTTCGAAAGAAAAAGGATGTCGTTTTCAAACAGTTGGTTCGGGTACTCAGATAAGGGGGGCAGTATATTATAATGAGCCTGCATTTATCAAACTTGTTGAATCCCACATTTTCTAATCAATGAAGCCCAAATATAAATGAATCTTTAACTAAGACTTGCATAAATGGGGGACCAAAATACACAAAAATACGAGGGCGATTAAAATCCTAAACTGAGGACGACTGAGCTCTGCAGTGTCTGGCAGCAAAACAAGAAAGAGATCCTTCTCCTCCAGCCTTCCTTTTATATGGGTAATTAGGGAAGATCTGGAACACCTGGGCAAAGGCGGAGCCAAGAGGAAATCAGGAACACCTGAACAGAGAGGCAGAAGAGAGGAGGAATTTGGAAAATTGCCGACAACAAGTTCTGTGGAAATCAAATTAATTATACTTTCATGTTTCGATCATTAGGATAATCTCCACATATTTTAACACCATTGTTTGATGTTTGAAGCATAGATGCAGTAGCGAGAAGTTAAACACAAATGTTAGGCATCACATCACTGTTGCTAAGCTAAAGGCGGCTAATGTTTGGTGTGATGATCTCTCATATAGTCCCTTGATATCAACCGGCATATAATGACACATGAGCTTCAGACATTCCCCAGTGGTTTATTTACTGACCTTTTATGTCATAAAACATGTTAAAATCTCTAAAGGGTTTGTGAACCACAGATCTTATTTCATCCATCTAACCAACAACACGTTGATTTTGAGAGAAGGGTACTGAAGGTGCTAACTCATATCTTGGTTTTAGGACTCATTCCTGCACCCCTCTTCAGTACTTACACACACATGGTCTCCTCACAGATCTATTGAAACGTCCTGTAGCAATGTGTCCTGGTTTCAGAGAGCGGTGCGATGGCTCCCTGTGTGCAGCGACGCAGGGCCATGTATCAAAGCTGTCTGCTTCTCTGTGTGGGAGGCTGCGTTGTTTATGGGCTGCTGAACACTGAGCACCGGGGGAATCAATCTGTCTGGAGCGAGGCCAGGCCCACAGCGAGAGCACCGCCTCAGGCCAAGGATGCCCACTGCAGAGTTAGAAAGCAAGGCTCCGTTGTTCCCATCCAGCTCCATGATTAATGGCTGTCTCTGGTCTGAACCCCAGAAAGGCTGGTAATCATAAGAGGAGTCCGTTAGAGGCAATCTGTCACTTTTTAATAAACTGAGGTGGTGGCAGTATCCACACGCATGCCTTGGAAGTGATTGGTCTGGATATAGGAAGCATATTTAGGACGAGATGATGAGGAACATGTCGGCCTGAAGCAAAGATAAAAGTAGGCAATAGCATCGGTAGTCGTCTATTAGGGAAGTAAGTAAGTGAGTCAGTAAAACACACAGTTCAAAAGTGCTCCAAACACACAGAAAAATAGAATCGAATTAAGTAAAAATAGATTACAATAAAAAACACATGAGACAAAACAACTGTCACTTTGATATCTTATATGAAGTTAAAGCAACAAGAAAGAGTAAAATAATGCATTCATACGTTCTTGATCTGAACGTACATAACATAAACAATCATCTGTATTAAACTATGTTGTGTTTTAGTCCCTTTTGTACAGTTTACATATCAATAACATTTTGTAGACATGCACACACCGATATTTTGTATAAAAGATTCCAATGTTCACATGTTGGTGTGAAGGACCAGGGTACGCAACAACTAGGAATGCAGGTAGAGGTGGAAAGAAATAACAATTTTTATTTACCCAAGATATATATATACATTATTTAGGATGGGTAACAAAATCATTTAAAAAAAAAGGTGTATTATTAATAATATAAACAGATACAATCTAGAGCATTAATTAATTAATAAACAAAACCGTCACCAAAATGGGTGAGTTCTGAGTTCTCTTCTTCCCAAGACCAGCACACACACACACACACACACACACACACACACACACACACACACACACACACACACACACACACACACACACACACACACACACACACACACACGAAAGTTGTTTCAAAAAATGTGTCTGTATGTATGATGTTAAACAAAAAGCATAACCTTTGGGATGTGTGGTTGGATGTGAGGCTCGTAGCTTTCACAGTTGGTATACAAAGTATGTTGTGCTATTCAAACAGCTCTGTTTGTTTTCCATGTTACTTCAACATGCCTTAACATGCCATAAGAAACACCCCAGTATCAATTCCATCATTATGAAGCAGAATTAATGTCCCCTAACCCCACCCAATGTACTGTTCATGTACTTTGGTTGTACTGAGAGAGAGCACCACTTAATCTTAAAGTGATTTGTAACTTAATCTCCATACTCAAAGCATTTCCTGCTTCTTCATTTACATCAAATGTATTTTCAGTGTTTGTAAAGCTATAAACTACCATGTATTATATTAAACTTCCTTATCTTCTCGTGTAGTGACGTAAAAACAGCTGTGAGGAAAGTGTGACATGGCATTCAAGCAGACTTTCTCTTGATGGATTGTTACACTTTAGCCAGCTGGTTCTTGCAGTAATTGCTAACAAGGCCAGAGAGATTAGGAGTCAGGAGGGCACGCAGCGTGGGGAAACACAGGAAGTGTTGACTGACTTCTTAACACTGAAGCATTACCCAGCTGCTCTACTCTCTTACATCACAATCTGAATGAGAAACAGGTTTGTCGCCAAGTAGGTTTACACATAGAAGGAATTTGCTTTGGTGTATACATAGACATAGTAAGAGATTTTGAATCGGAAAATGACCAAAATTGAACTATTTTAAAATCTATTATAACATTCAAATATAGAGAATTCACAATATTAAAATGAACATGATGTTCTTTCCTCAATTTAACTTGCACCATTGTTTTATGGTCAAATTTGTTTTTCTTAATTATATTGTATGTTTTACTGTTGGAGGATCCGGAGACTTAAGATCTTCATTGCCAAAACTTCGTAGATATTGTGCATATGATAATAAATCCTGCGAATCAAAGTCATTGTTTTTAATATCAAATAAATCCCCCAAATCCATGAATATACACTGCAACTGTTCTGTTATTTATCCCATGCTTCTCTCTCTCAGTGTGCTCCCAGGGGACCTATGGGCCGGCCTGTAACAGTCTGTGTCGGTGTCAGAACGGAGGCTCGTGTGACCCCGTGACCGGGAAGTGTGTGTGCCCCCCCGGGGTGCAGGGCCTGCTGTGCGAGGACGGTTTGTAAAAATTCCTAAAGGTACACAAAGGTGTGAATACAAAAACCAGGCTCTAAGGTGGTGGTGCTAAAAAAAAAAAAATGGAGTCTCCCCCGTAGATATGAAGCAATATCTCCTAACGACCCTGTCATAGGTTGAAATTCTATTTGTGTACACAATAAAACAAAGCAACAGGAACACAACAATTAATGATGAAGAAAATTCTGGAGGTAAAATATGAAAATTGCTCAGGGCTTATATCAGGAATCTCCAATTAAATGTAAAAGTCAACAAACAAGCTAACAGCAACAAAAAGAAAATGAAAAACGTAGAAAAAAACACAATGTTGAGTTTCACAATTTTGCCTGATTTTAAACTTATTTAAAAAAAAGTGTTCTAATGTCTAATTTCTCGTGTTAACAGGTTGTCCCAGGGGTCATTTCGGGATGCACTGCAGGAGAAAGTGTAACTGTCCCAACAACGGACACTGCCACCGTCTGTACGGGGGCTGCCTCTGCTCTCCGGGACTGTACGGCCGCCTCTGCCACCTGTGTGAGTACCAATGACCTCATTATAATACCTACTGCATAATGCTGCTGAAAAAGTGGTGGGTCTCGACCAATTTGACCTAGGGGGCCATGTTACATGTATTTACGATACAATAATACTTTAATGGTCAGATCAAGTCTGACATTTTACTTGCATCACAGCAGTGTAACATCAACATAGACAAATATCAACTATATATTTATGAGTGGTGTACATTTGAAAGACAGTGTTCAAGATTTTAACTTTTTTAATTCAATATAAGGTCATAGCCCACAAAAAATAACATAAAAGACCATGACTAGTATTTGTTTCATTTACAAAAAAGTGACAGTCTTTGCTGCAACACTATTACAAATTATATTATCATATATTCTAATCTAAGGGCACTGGCCCCTGTTCGCCCCACTCTAGAACCGCCCATGTGTTAGTTTGAAATAATACTGGCCAGTGGTGTTGGCTGTACGAGTTAATACAATTGATACAAATATACCTTAGGAGTATGTGATATATGAGCAATGGTAGAATGTGATTAGGTTCTGCAATGAATAAACTATTTTCATTTTATGCTACTTCACATTTCCAACCCATAACCATAACATTTTGGGAGCCATTATTTACTTTTTACTCCACTACATTTCTCTGATTGCTTCACAGATTCAGATTATTAGCTAATACAAAATACAAATAAACATGTGGTTCATAATGCTCTTCTGTATGATTGAATATTTAAAAAAACAAACAATCATTGGCAGTCTTTAGGTGTTGGCATCTTGGTGATTGACATATAAGTGGATAACAACTTCTTTGGTTCTGGTTTTTGTTAATCACTATTTACAGATTATGTTAGGAAACTATTTACAAAGAGTCGTTTGGACGGGGGCGCCAGGTGGGACGGCTACTCTTAGTACTTCATTGCCCTCAGCTCTTTTGTGTAAGAAAAAAACAAACAATTGTTTAACCTGAAAGACAAATATAAATGCTTCTGTATTATTCTTCATTCCTGGTTACTTGATTGGATGCAGAAGTGAAATATGGGTAACAATATAATGTGAAACCATTAATGCCAATCTTTAAGTGTCATGACGATTATCATACAAATGGATAACACCTTCTCAGGTTCTGTACATTGTGTTAGTTCTTTACTGCTACTACTAGATTATGTACAATTGTCTACATAAAGTACACAGAGCCTCATGTTTGCTCTTCATCGCTGGATGTACTGAGCCGTTTGGACGGGGGCACCAGGTGGGACGGCAGCTCTCGGGGGAGCCAGTGTCCCTCCAGCTTCCCCTCAATGAGGTGGACCGCCAGAGCGAACTCCTCATTGTCCAGCATGCCGTCCCCGTCCACGTCCGACAGCCTCCAGATGTGGGCGAGCACGGAGCTGGGCAGCAGCGTGGTGGTCATCCACTCTCGGACTTTGGTGCCGCTCAGTTTGCCGTCGTTTGGACTGAGGTTGTAGAAAATCTCGTCGTACTTCGGCTTGTATTTCTCCACCGCCCACTCGACGAAATCCGCCTCGCCGCTCTCGTCGTCTCTCCTGAATTCCTTGAAAGGATCTTTTTTGTAAAGCTCACGCCTGAATGTTCCCAAAAACTCCCCGTCCAGCACTCCAGGGAGGGATTTCTTCCTTTCCTTCCTCAGTTCCTGTTGTTGAAGGAGAGGCACCAGGTTGGCGATGTCAGTGGCCAGGAGTTTATCCAGCGAGGCCATCAGACTGGGCTTCAGTGTCTTGAACTTTGAGAAATCTTGACCTAAAAGCTTCTCCTAGAAAGTTATGCAAACACATGTCAAGTTTAAGAGTTGGTCAATCAATTCTAAAACATGTTAGATTAAATTAAAAAGTGATGTTTAACCTGCATCTTGGTGCAGTCAGGGAAGTCGCCCGCTGGGACTCGATGCTGTTGCTGGATCTTGGTGAAAATCACAGGAAGCTGGTAAATCAGGTTGTGCTTTTTGCTTTCTTTGCAGAAAATAGTCGGCATCTCCTTCTTCAGATAGCTGATAATGTGGGCATGAGCCTAGTAGGAAAAGAAAGGAGAATTCAGAATAACTTAAATGTCCCCTATTATACTGTCTTTCTTCAATATATTATAGGTCTCAGATATATACAGAACCTGTCTCTGATTGGCTGAAACACCAAACAGATCATTGCAGCATCCCACAATCCCCTCTGTTTCAAAGTGTTGATTCTCTGTCTGTTACTTTAGATGAAAATAAGGAGCCCCTCCCCACGCCCCTCTGAGAGAGATTTGGTTACAAAGAACTCAATGGTGCTCTGAGACTGCCAAGGNTTTTTTTATCCGTTTAAAGCACATGTGTCAAACTCAAGGCTCGGGGGCCAAATTAGAAATTATCCTGCGGGCCGAAATTAAATCCACCAAGGGCCTGATTTGGCCCCCGAGCCTTGAGTTTGACACATGTGCTTTAAACGGATAAAAAAAGAATGTTACATTTCTAACCGTGTTTCTGACTTCCTCCCTTTTCTTTTTTGTGTTGCAGCATGAAAGATTACGAACGCTTCATGCTGAGCTCGAGGAGAAACTGGAAGCTTCAGAGATCCAGATTAAAAGCCAGTCTGCGGAGTACAGATCCCTCCTGCAGCAGAAAGATGTATGTACATTTTAAATATTGATTATTGCATTTAGAGAATACTTGTTGTTAAAATATATCCTTCAAAAGAGAAATGAATCATATCCCTATGTCTAGTAATAAAGGACCCATGATGCTTTGACCCTTAAACAATTCAGTATTGTAGTTTGATCTATAAATGTGTAATATATGTGGACGTTTAAGACTGCATAAAATAATTTAATCAAATGTAACTTTACTTTATTTAAACCTATAAAAGGTTACGTACATTTTTTTTTTTTTTTGATTTTGTCCGCCATAATGCACACACATGGCTGATTACATTTCAATTAAATAAGATACTTATAATGCTGTTAATAAATATGTTGTTGTTCTTGCAACCTTCCTATATCAACAATACTTAATATATAAGTGTAGCCTAATATTAACCTGCACAAAAGCACCTTCAAATGGAAATAATAGACGTGCAAAAAACTAAGTGCATTTTTTAAACAGACCTTATTTCAGGCTAACAACCTAAAACACAAGCAAAATCCTGAGACCAGCTCAAATGAGGACTCGTTTCCAGGTTGTAGGACTCATTCCTGCACCTCTCTATGACCCTAACCCTAAAATATGTTCTGTGTCTCCCAGGTGGAGATCGGTCACCTGAAGGCTCGGCAAAGCGGTCTCCACGAAGAGTTTCAGACTCTGCAGAAGTCGTCTCAGTCCTCCTCCGTTGGTCCCGCCATGCTTCCTGTCTCCACCACTTCCTCCTCCACCACTTCCTCCTCCACCACTTCCTCCTCCTTCCTGTCGCGGCCCTCGGGGACACACTCGGGTTTCCACGGCGACGAGATGGACCTCAGCGAAGTCCTGTGGTCTCAGCAGGAAATCAACCGGCTGTCCAATGAGGTCCTGCGTCTGGAGTCCGAGGTGACTCACTGGAGGAGCATCTCTCAGGTAATCATGACATTCTCACCCGGCCCGCACGGTGACTTTGGCGTTGGCGGAGTGGTTAGTGCGTGCGTTTTTTACAACGTCTCGCAAGTAATGCACAGTACTGGAGTCCAACAGAGAGGCAGCAGCTGCGGGACAGTAGACTGCGTATTGCGTAGCCGACCCTGCCCTGAAGACGAAGTGATTCTTCCTTAGCGTGAAGAGTCTGCTTTATACGCTCCGCAGCAGTAGCCCCACTGTGAGGCTCCGGCGACTTCACAGTACATGCACCCCCCCCCCAACAGAGTCCAACAGAGTGGCAGCAGCTGCGGGACAGTAGCCTACATACTGCGTAGCCTTCCCTGCCCCTGGGCTATATATAAAAATCGCTGGCCCGCGAAAGGGTCTATTGGATAAATGTTGGCCCTTGGACAAATGGAGTTGGGGACCCCTGATTTATAATATGTAGCAGGACTGGCTCATCCAGCCACAGGAATAGTTTATTTCGTACAGGCTAAAGACACAAACATGGACATAACAATAACATATAGGAGAAGACATTCCCATCTCAGACAAAAACAGAAGAAATAAAGATACAGTCAGTAGGATCACTTCACAAACAACAATAAGTAGACAACCAAATACCACCAAAAACACAACATGGAAAGCATATTTATTGTTCCTTTAATCCCACTCTTCGTTAGAGCTCATTATTTCCCATTTCATGGCGTGTATATCCACCCTTTTGATTTTGAATCTACTCTTCAAACACTTTAAAGGGGACCTATCATGCAAAATGCACATAAAGACACATAAAGATGTGTCCCCGGTGTGTCGGGGAACTCACGCAGCGTCAGAAAATAAAACCCTCTCTCTTTTCCTCCATACCCAAATCTCTAAAAACGGGGGAACAACGGAGCTGATCCAGATTTGCGTCCGATATGACGTAATATCTGAAATGTGGACCCACGGCCCTATCAGAAACATTGCTATCAGAAACAATGCCCGACTGTTTTGGACGTAATATGGTCGGTGTTTACATTAGCATGGCTAACACTCAGAGCTAACCTGTACTGGAGAGCATGTGTGTGAAGAAGCAGGAAGTAAAAAGGAACTCACGTTGTGGTATAACCGGAAAGAGAGAAAGCCTTTGAGCTCCATACTGTTTCAGAGATAATCCTTGATAATCCATGATATGGCGTTTCATCACGGCAGTATTTAGTTTAGACAGTAGCTGCCGGGTCCCGCATGAGCT